CGCACTAATAAAGAATACTTTGTTTTAAATAAGCATAAAGAAAAAGTTTTTATATGGCTGTAAAATTAGGGATGTCACAATATTGTTGCTGCAGGAGTATGTTAGTGCATGAAAAGTAGATAAAGTTTTCTCTAGCATGTCTTCATCCGTTATTGTTTCACCACATAAATTTAGTTGAGAGGTAATTTTAAACATGGTTGAATTATACTCACTCACATATTTAAAATCATGTAGTCGAAGGTGTAACCAATCAAAACGAGCTCTAGGAAATACCACTATTTTTTTATAATCATACATGTAATGTCCCAAAAATAATAAGTAAAATTTTTCATTTTTAGACCACTAAAAAACCATACAATCATTTGTTCTAAGACAATCAATGTATAAAGTACTCTCAAACATCATAGTAAATCAATAGATAGTGCGGAATAAATCTTCGGGAGATGCAATGCGATCAAGTCGGGCCCTTCCTTTTCGAACCAGAAGTACCTTAAACATTTTAAACATAAAATCATAAGCACAAAGTTTAGTGAGTCCCCCAAAGTACCATATACCATACATAACATTGGGCCCTCCCATACGACTAACGGCCCCGCCTACATACTAGGCCCTGCCCAACACACATGCAAGAGTTACAAAAACAATCTAGCATCCTACATAGTATAGTGAGCAAACTCACCTCACACTCGAAACATATCAACCACAACTCAAACTGATGAGAAGCTGGTGCTACAACCTACCTATCGAAATAATCAAGATCTCTAAGTGTAACAGCCCAAATTTCACAGAAATTTTTTAATTAAATAATCAGAAATATCAACCATATTTGTTTCAAAAAATCTCGTTACATAACCACATTGTTTAAAAGATCAGAGTATCCAAATACTAAGTGCGGAAATACTGGAGAGTTCACGCTGAGCCATCAAGCCGGGCCTTTGCCCTTAGAACCAGAAGTACCTGAAACACCCAACAAAACTGTAAGCACACGCTTTAGTGAGTTCCTCAAAAACACATGAAACACATAACCACATATTGTCATGCACACACACACACACACACACACATATATATATATATATATATATATATATATATATAAGTTTTCCATAGACTCCCTCCATGGTCTTCATTTGGAATTCCATGGGCTACCTCATGATCTTGTATCCTAGAGCCATGGGCTCCCCCCTATGGTCTTGCCAAGTGTCATGGGCTCCCCCCATGGTCTTCACATAAGTCTACACATATGTCAATTAGCAAACCATTGCATACCCAATTACTAAACATCTCATAACAAATAATGGACCGGCCTTGGTGCCTTCGACCCATGGGTGTAGTGAGAAGACTCACCTCAGTCTGTTGAACACAATAGCTACTCGCCTATCAGTCTGAAACCTCACACTGAACAATGATACAAATAACCCTAAATTAGGATTATAATTTAACCTAGTCAAAGAGTCCAAACACTTAAGCCTAAGTCCTTCCATGTTGGCCCAAAAGTATTTCCTTTACTAATGGGCCTAGGATCCAAGATAAAAGCTATTAATAGGCCACATGGCCCAACAAGGCCCAACCAATACAACTATGGCCCAAAACAGAATAACATACCACTAACTCTAAATGGGACCAGACCCAAAACAGAATATGGCCCAAAACAGAATATTGCCCAATAAGCTCACAAGCCCACACGAAGCCTAAACCCATCCGAGGTGCGTACGCCCAATGTACCACTCCAGTACGCTTAGCGTACTGAGCCACTTGGCTGTATGCGCAACGTACATGATATCACACCCGACGTACAAGCAGAATATGCACCAACAACCATTAAGTGCTTAATACTTGGGATTTCAACGTCAAACTTCAGATCTGTGTCCATTAAGATGTCCTAGGGCATAAAGTTGGCAACTTTATGCCCTTTCATTCCATAAGGGATACCAATACTTCATTCTTCCCATTAAGACCTCATTTAAGACCTCAAACTCATGCATGGTCTCAAAACAACCTTCAAGATGGCACCTTTATGCATCAAACATGCTCAAAGAGCTTATATCTAACAATCCTAGTCTCTGGAGTTGCTCAACTCATAAGAGAGGGAACAAATAACCAAAAAAGGGACTTCATAACAAAACCCTAGCTCAAAATAACAAAAGAGATGACAAGGTTATGGATTTTACCTCTAGAAGTTCCTCAAGATGAACTAGACGCATGATCTAGAAGCTCAATGACACCCAAGACTTGATCACCACCTTCTCCTTCTTGAATGCTTCTAAAATGGCCACCAAAGCACTCTTTAAGCTCAAGGATCACACTCTCATGAAAATATAGGGTTAATGGACGAAATGAGGCTATGGAGGCTGATTAAGGTTTGGTCTAAATGATATAAGGTTGTTGAAATAGGGTGCAAGTCAAGAAATTAGGGTTTTAGCCACTTGCCACGTACGCCCAGCGTACGAGCCTCAGCAACCCGATGCACAACTCTCACGTACGCTAAGCGTACCAAATGTACGCCCAACATACAGAAGGGCCCTTTTGCCAAAATGAAAATACTTGAATGTAGACAATGGAATACCTGGATTGGAGTGTTACACTAAGCTAGCCATTTGACTAAAAGTCAACCACGTCAAAAAGTCAACGGTCAAAGTCACCCCAGTTGACCTCCACGTCGTGGCCACCCATTGACCACGTCGTGGCATCTTCATGACAAAACAACCACGACAACTGAACAAACACATCTTAATGGATTAAGTTTTTACCCCTTTACCCTAAGAGTTCTAAAACTCATATCTGAACCTCTTCAAGATCTTAAGCTCTTAATGATTGCACCAATTGCATGGACACCAAACTATGTCATGTAAAACCACTTTCCAACCAACACCGTGGTCTAAAAGCTAAATAATGAACTCAAAGGCTCTGGAGTTCACTCAAACTCCAAGGACAAGAAGATTGGGACCAAAAAGCTCATAAAATGACCTAAAACAAGATCTAGAGTTGCAATGAGCAAGGTTGAGACTTTATACCTACACGAGGTCTAAAATAAGATGAAGATATTGGATCTAAGTTGGAAACAAGCTTACAAACCACAAGATGGACACCTTCTTCCTTCAAGCTTCACAAAGATGGCTTCACACGCTAAAAACACACACAAATAGGCTAGGGTTTCGGTGGGCATCGATTTTAGAGGATGATGCTTCCAAATGAGGCATCCCTAGGAGTTAGTCCCTTTAAATAGGGCACTAATCCAGGAATCTAGGGTTTTGAACCCCAGTCGCCACCACGTCGTGGATAAGGCCTTACCACGTCGTGGTGGTTCGCGAATGCGCTCTTTCTGAACCAGGCTGCCACGTCGTGGTTATTCCATTACCACGACGTGACCAAACCAAAATCCTAAAACTTATATTTAATGAATTAAATTCGGAAGAACCATACATGTTACAACACCTCTCATTGAGATTATTCCAAAGATCGGTTGGATCTTTGACAATGAGGTATTTGACTTTCAATCCTTTATCAAGATGACGACTAAGGAAAATTAGCGCCTTAGACTTATCTTGGTTTGATGCGTCATTTAATGCATTTTCAGCTTTTATGGTCTCATAGCATCAAGGTGAATTTCAACATCAAGGATTCATAATAAATAATTCTTTCAATTGATGTCAAGAGACATAAACTCAAGTTTGCTAAGGTTTACCATAGTGAAAATACTAATCAAAATAGAGACTTCTATCTTAGAAAATTATTAGTTAGGAAATTCCATAAAATAACTTGTGAGCATTATACATGTAAACTTATAAAATATACATATATGAAAATATAACGATAAGAAGTTGGAGCTTTATTATAGAGTCGTGCAAATAACGTATTATCAAATATGAAATTAAGTTAAAAGAACAAGGTAAGAAATAAGATTTTAAAAAACTTTATTTCATTACTTGGTAAAAACAAACAACCTTTATAATACATATTAATCATTATTTATACTTAAAAATAAAATAAAATATAAGCTATATTATAAATGAACTTTATAATGATACATAAAATTCATAATAATATTTATAATAATGTTCATTAATAATAAAGAAATATGAGAAAATATTAAAAATTTAATGGTTATCCATTAAATAATATTTTAATAACATATTTCAGATTTTTGTCTTCACCCTCTAAATTTGATAATTACAAAACTAGAAAATAAATATACCAAAAAGGGTACAATTATGGAATCTTAATAAAGCAAAAGCTAAAAAGATAACAAAGATTATGGCGTTTAGTCAGCCACTGGGGTCACGGTTGTTGCCCTAAAACGCGCTTTGGCCAACTTTTGCTGCTACTATCCGACAAGCTTCCAAATATTTTCAAATCGTAGTATGATTTGCTCATGATTTTGCTTCCATTTTTCTTTTAATTTCACACCCAAATTTTGTGGGGAAACTTCCTCCGTATTACGATTGTAATGTCACCAACAACTTGTCTGCTGGTTTCCACATGAATTGTAGGATTGGTGAGCCCCCCTTCCGTCAATTATATAGCTGTCCTCCTCTATCCTTTCCCAATTTGTAATTCTGATTTACGATTTATGATTTTGATGCGTTAACATCACAGGACCATTGACTCTCTCTTCATCTAATTACCTTTTTCGTATTTTCGCATAATCCTCTGGACTTTCTTGAATTAAGAACGTTTGTGTGAACGTCTGACCACGAAAAAAAGTACATTGATTGTCATATTTTCAAACAGATAAGTAGCAAGTGGTTGGGGTTTCTGTGGAGTGATCCGAATTCTTCCATCTTCCTCTTCCTTCTTCCATCAAACAAAATTCGAATTTTGGGTTTCTGGCTATTTATTATCTCCGGTGATGATCAGCTGATGTAGGAACTGGAGGTTGGTTATTGATATTCTTTGATTCTTTTATTGGGTATTGTTTATTTTCACTTAATTGGTCTGATTAAGGTAGTTGCAGTATGGAATTTCGCAAATTTAGATTGCTTATATGGGTCATGTTCACCATGTGTTTGATAAAATGCTCCTTCCAGTTCGACCCTATAGACAACTATCTGCTAGATTGTGGATCACCCACGAACAGCTCCATACGCGATAGGGTTTTCTTAGCGGATACTTCCGATTCCGATCACCGTTTCCTTTCAAACCCAGAACAAGAATCTGTAAACACATCAAATTCCCAACCCATTTCATCCACCTACGGATCATCACTATACACAACCGCCAGAATCGTAAACAAAACATCAAATTACACCTTCTCCATTAACCAACACGGCCGCCATTTCATCCGCCTCTATTTCTTCCCATTTCCGTTAGACGCCGGAACCTACAACCTAACCACCGCTAGATTCTCCGTCTCCGCCCACGGTTTCACCCTCCTGAAAAATTTCCAACCCGATAATACCCCTGTCGTTAAAGAATTCTCTTTAAACATCACTTCCGATGAACTCATTCTCACATTCACCCCTTCCCCCAATTCATTCGCGTTCCTAAATGCCCTAGAAGTCATCTCCCACCCAAACGAACTCATCCCCATCACAGCCCGAGCTGTAGAGCTTCCACATACCCACCACAATCTGATGACGCAAGCACTACAAACAGTCGCTAGGGTTAACATGGGAAATCAAACAGTCTCCCCTGATAATGACACCTTATGGCGACTATGGAATCCAGATGGAACCTTCATGAAACACAACAATCTTGTTCGATTTGTCTCAAATATAAGCGCTGTAAACTACACAGCAGGAAGTCCAGCTTTTGATATCGCTCCTTTATCTGTGTATGGAACTGCGACTAAACTTGATACCGAATCTGACCCTGGTGCTCTTCTTAACAACACTTGGTCTTTTAATGTTGACCCGGGTTTTTCCTATTTAGTCCGGTTTCATTTCTGTGATATAATCGAACGTCCACCTTCAGAACTCATCCTCAACATCTACTTAAACTCCATGTCAGTTGCTAAAGATCTTAAACTTGGTGACCAAATGTCAAATATCTGGGGTGCCCCTTTTTATTTAGATGCTATCACAAAGCTAAACGGGAATGGAATCCTAAATGTAAGTGTAGGGACATCTCTTGCTTTCGGGGCATACCCGGAAAGCATTCTAAACGGGCTTGAAATCTTGAAAATTAGTAATTCCAATGGGAATCTTGATGAAGGTGGGACAGGGGTAAATTCGTCAAACTCAAATTCAAATTCGAAAATCTTGGTGATTATCGTCTCTAGTGGCGCGTTGTGTGTTTTGATTCTTTTGTGTTGTGTGTTCTTTGTAATCACAAGAAGAAATAGACGTAAACGAAATGAAGAGTACTCGAGTGCGAATGTTCATAAGACAAATGACAAAAATACCCTTTTCTCAAGGTCGAAAATCGGATACCGATTCCCTCTAGGAGCGGTTCTAGAAGCTACCGATAAGTTTAGCGAGAGTTTAGTAATCGGAATCGGTGGATTCGGGAAAGTTTACAAAGGAATACTTTCCGATGGGACAATTGTAGCTGTAAAAAGAGGGGCCCCACAATCACTTCAAGGGGTATCTGAATTCCAAACCGAAGTTGAAATGTTATCCCAATTCCGACATCGACATTTGGTATCTTTAATCGGATATTGTGATGAAAAAAACGAGTTAATTATCATATACGAGTACATGGAAAACGGGACTTTAAAAAACCATCTATACGGGTCGGATCTACCCAAATTGAATTGGAAACAACGGTTAGAAATCTCAATCGGGTCGGCCCGTGGGCTCCACTATCTTCACACGAGTTCTCATTTAGCTATAATTCATCGAGATGTGAAATCCGCAAATATTCTACTAGATGAGAATATGATGGCTAAGGTTGCGGACTTTGGGCTATCGAAAACGGGCCCCGCGATTGACCAAACTCATGTGAGTACAGCGGTGAAGGGTAGTTTCGGGTATTTGGATCCGGAGTATATGACACGTCAGCAATTGACTGAAAAATCGGATGTGTATTCGTTCGGGGTTGTGATGTTTGAGATTTTATGTGGGCGACCCGTGATTGACCCGTCTAGGCCTCGGGGAATGGTGAGTTTGGTTGAGTGGGTTAATGAGATGAGAAAACGGGGCGAATTGGAGAAAGTGTTTGACCCGTTTCTTGTGGGGAAGATGAAGATGGAGTCTGTGAAGAAGTATGTGGAGATAGGGGAGAAATGTATAGCGGAACAAGGGGTGGATAGGCCTACAATGGGGGATGTACTTTGGAACCTTGAATGTGCCCTTCAGTTGGAGGGTAGTGAAGTAAATGCGCCTAAAGTGGAAAATGAGTCTGTTAGTAGTAATGTGTTTAGTGAGGGAAGTGTGGGAGATTTTGCTGGGGTTTCGATGAGTAGGGTTTTTTCAGAAATGGTTAAAGGTGAAGAACGTGAAATGAGGTGAAAAATATTTTTTAATGCTTTTGGGTTTGTTGTTTATTAGGGGGGAATGATGTATATGAATGATAAAAGATTTGTGTATGTGTGTGTGTTTGTTTTATGACACCTAGAAGTTTTTAAATTTGTGATTTTAGGTGTTTGATCACTGATTTTAAGGTGATGTTGTGAGTTTGGTGTATTAAGATCTTTGTTGCGAAATTTGCTCAATTGGGTTTTTAAGCATTTGAGACTTACTTATAAGTTTTAAGTTGTATGGATAATGACATTATTTTTTTTATTTATGAAAGACACATATAATAACAACTTATTTGGATTTCTTTACCAACATGCAACCAGTAAAATGCTCTAGGGGTCTTCAATTCAACATTAAAATGTATTTTTTACACGTAGAATAACATTAAATAATTAGCAGTATGATATGTAGTGTCTAGTTTCAAGGGAATATTTTGGTCAAAGCACCGGCAGATCCATGAAATAATTGAAGAGGTGCGCAAATCACGATATAATTAAAGTATTAAAAAGAAACATGATTTTATAAAAATAAGAAAGAAATGATTTTATAAAAAACATGTAATCTTTCGAATAAAAGACCCAACCCTACAACGGTTAGACTTAAACGAGAGCTGCACAATAAGTCTGAATCAATCATTCTAGAATTATTTAACATTTGGAGCATGTAACTTAACATATTCATTTGATAGTTCACATCAATATAGGTCCTACAAATCTCAAAGCAAGCAGCATTCGGATAGTAACACTTTATAGGCTGCAAAACATAAAAAGACATCCTCCAACTAATTTGTTTCTGCGATGCTAGGAACTTCTACCAATATTGTCGGTTGCCATATGCATACAAATTATACATAAAACGAGATCACATAGACTTTCAAATGAATGACTCTATCCTAAGCCCACAACCAAACAAGGAACATAAAACAATGCCAAATCAGTCATTCTAGATGCTTATATGATTCCAAATTAGCATCAAATTCCTCCTAAGCTAAAAGGCATCACAAAGCATATCATTTTATCCAACATTTGAAATCTATACTTAGAGCCGGTCCATTAGTTCTCGATGCCCCGAACAACCAAAGTTAGGTCATCCACATCAGTGCAATGCCACTAATCTTTCAGTTGTGACACATCAGCTTTGCAATGACTACTCACATCAGTGCAATTACTATCATCTTTCAAAAGTGGTCCACACTGTCACATCAACAATTACTTTATATATATATATTATATATATATATATATATATATATATATTAAATATTAATATTTACTTAATAATAAATAAACATAAATTTTATTATCATAATTAAAATAATATTTTTAAAATAAAATAACAAAATAATAATAAATATTAAATTTATTTTACTTTATTAATTATTTAAATATTAAGACGTTACAAAAAACATGAATTATAAAACAAATATTACAATATTATTCCTCATTTTCTTCGTCTTCAAATCGGTTCCAAATCTTTTCAATCAAATCCGCTTGTAGTTGGTGATTTATGGATCTGTTACGAATTTTTGCATGACTCCGAAGATACATTTCATATGAAGGAAGACGACTTTGGGAAATTTCAGGCCGAACTATATTAAAATTAACATCATTATCTGTAAACTAGATGGACGTCAAAAGAGTAAACTAGCGATGAAATTATTAGAAATTGATCCATCAACATTGTCAGAACAACAAAGAAAGTTGTATGAAATGCAACTCGATATGTTATTAAACGGAAAATGATGTCAGTTTTATGCACTCTATCAATTACGTTTAAATAATTGTATTTCTTTTAATTTAATATGTTTATGATCATTTATATTTTAAATAAATAATAGTTATTAATATTTGTTAATTGAGAAAGGAGATATATATCACTGTTTTAAAAATCGGTTTTTTAGTTGAACCGATCTGGTGACCGGTTCCGGGTTCAATCGGTTCTACCACTGGTTCAACCCGTTCATGCATTTTTATGTATTTTATGGTCTACGTTTAAATTAAATAGTTGTATTCATTCTAATTTAATGTTTACAATTATATTTTTTAAATAAACTATAATTATTAATATTTGTTAATTAAATTTAAAATTGAAGTTAACGTAAACACAAATAAAATGAAATTTGGAAAACAAAATAAACAATGTTTATATATATATATATATATATATATATATATATATATATATATGTTAATGTAATAAAAACATGATTAAGTGGAAAAGTATTAAAAGAGAAACATTATTTTAATATTAAATATGATTTGCAAGCCTTTCTAATATTGAAAGGAGTTAGTCGACGTGGCATGTAAAATGAAGTATATGGCATTGCAAAAGATATTGACTGCCTGCGATGTGGATGCTCTTAATAATGCCCCCATGTATCGTACAATGCTAATGCCATGTATTAATTATTTGTTTATTACCGACATATATGTTTCAAATATGTGACAAAAAGAAGTCTAATAATCAAACAAAAGGGAAAAAAATAAAAATAAAAATAAAAAAGCTAAAGGTCACTATTGTTCATCCTTGAGAGAGAAACTTTGAAATTGAAAATAAGATGTAGTGCACACCGCAAGAATACACAGCTCCAACTTAAGACAAATCTTTAAATAATCAAGCATTTTCAACAAAAATAGGTAGACCAACAAAACATGTTAGCCTAATAATGCAAACTTGAGGAATGTCTTTGTATAATAGGTCCGTGGACAAATCAATTGAAAACAAATATAATCTTTCAGTTTTTAACTTGATATGGTTCATGTACAAAGATTACCACAAATCTTTTTTTGCAAGCACGAATCAACATTTTTTTTTCAAACATATCTTCTTAATATATTTGACATTTCGCTTTTATAAATATGATTATTAGAGTTGAGGTAACATGGCTAGCCACTTTGATTCTTGAAATTTCACTAAAATTTCATTTAGTATTATCATCAAACACTTGCTCTTCGTAAAAAAAGGTATATCCTTGAAAATAAATATATGTTATCAAGCTTCCATCAGATCCGAACTAACTAGAAGATAAAGTCTAATAAGAAATTAAACTCGTAGGATAACTTTGATTTCAACATAATACTCCATTAACTATTTTTTATGATAAAATCATAGCATACAATGTTCACAATAAATCTGGAATGGAGAGTGGGTGAGTGATAGATGTATAGACGACGACTTGGAACAAACATGATTCTTCAACATTTGAACTATTAAAGAAAGAGAAACTTCTCAAACTTACGACAAATAAAACGAAATTATAAGAGAAACAAGAGTCTGTCTAAGAACTTTAGCCTTAAGGAGAACCACCGAGGACACAAATCAGATTATAATAATGAATTAGGATTTAGGAGAAATTGACGATGACCTTATGAAACAAATAATGCCGGGCACCGGCTGATATGCGGTCTGCTCTACATTTTCTCCTTCTCCCGATGTCCGTCTCCTAGTCTTCTCCCATCTCGATGTCTGATACATTAATTAGGCGTATGTTTATTTTTCTGGTCAAATACTTATTTTTTCCGCTTCATGAATCATTGAATTCCCTTTCGTGGTAAAAAAAACTTAATTTCCGCTCATGATCGTGCCTTCTTTTCCCATTACAATGGACAAGACATAGAATATGGCCCAATATAATAGCTACCCATAACATTAGGTCCAAAAAACTTGTTGTCCCATTAAATTTGTTTCCTTGGGTTGTGGCCCAGCTCGCCCTGGGCTTGGGTCGGCCCTGTTTATACTAGCATGCAATTCTAAAAGCTCAATCAACAGGCATATACATGCATCTCTCCTAGCATTCTATCATGCAATCCTGAGTAGATCCTTAGTCCTAGTTGAGCATGCGATTCTCATATACTCATACCAAAACAATAAGAATAACACATGTATGAGTATTTTGGGGAATACTTACTTGAGCTCGGCTGATTGCATGCATCGCAACCTTTTCTTTTAAAAAGAATTTTTATAAAATTTTATTTTCTTTCAAAAAGATTACTAATTCCTCAGTTTGAGTTCAGACATACCCGAGAGTGTGCATGAATCCCTCAAACCAGAGCTCTGATACCAACTTGTAATGTCCAAAATTTCAAGTCAAAATTTACATTTAAAACAAAAGCATTTATTACAATTACAACTTCAAGGATCTAAATAAAACTCATTTGTTTAAAACATTTATGAGAGTATAGACATAAAAGTTATTAAGTGCATAAATCTCCAATGGATGTGATGCAATCAAGTCGTGCCCTTCCTCCAATATAAGAAAACCTGAAACAATTTAAACATGAAACTGTAAGCACAAAGCTTAGTGAGTTCCCAAAAATATCACATATCGTACAAATCAATGGGCCCAACCCTGGGGTATGTTTCAACCCAATACACATCATTGGGCCTAGCCCTGGGGTATGTTTCAACCCAATACACATCATTAGGCCCAACCTTGGGGTATCTTTTAACCCAATACACATCATTGGGCCCATCCTCGAGGTATATTTCAACCCAATACACATCATTGGGCACAACCCTAGGGTATCTTTCAACCCAAACATACAATAGTGGGCCCAACCCTGGGATGTATTCCAACCTAAACATACATGCAAAAGTCACAAAAGACAATTATCACAATCCAATGGGCCGACATTGGTGTCTTTGACCCATGAGTACAGTGAGAAGACTCACCTGAAGCAGTTACATAGAATAAAGCCACATAAATAGCTCAGATTGGTCTCCAGCTCTTAGGGAACCTACAATCACATCAATAACCCTTACTTAGCTTATATCACGTGTGTTACCTATTGATACTTCATAATATGCTTCTTATTCACTTTTATTATCGTTATAGCAATTGGTTTTGTGGGACATTAAACCTAACTCAACCCATGAAAGATTGACATTACTTCTTATAATATATTTCCTTAGCTTTTCATAACGTAGGACACATTCTCTAGTTAGCTTTCTATTGAACTCTAAAGATTTCACAAGTTGATTATAAAAATTGT